CTGAACTAGAGTTGTCTACCCTGAACTAGAGTTGTCTACCCTGAACTAGAGTTGTCTACCCTGAACTAGAGTTGTCTACCCTGAACTAGAGTTGTCTACCCTGAACTAGAGTTGTCTACCCTGAACTAGAGTTGTCTACCCTGAACTGCAAGCGCAAAAACAAAATTGAATTTATAAAAAAAAACACAAAAAAAACCTGGAAAAGAAAAGGGAGATAAATGTTCATTGAGACTATGACTTAAAGGTAACAATTATGACAGTGGAAAGAGGCACACCAAAATGTAACAAGGCCTTGAATTTAAGAACACGGCACCCAATCAATCAAGTTGTGTCCCATCTACCGGTGCCAAGGGTGCCGCCTTATTTCACTGTTCATTTTATATCACAACACCACCACCCCTACCACCCCCCATGAATTTTTACACACACACAAAAAAAAAACAACAACCTCAAGTTGTCAAGCAGGCGAATTTTTCTTTAGATTTTTTCAGCACGCAGGTGAACTATGACTAAATTAGGCTGGAGAGAAGGAGGCGAAGCTGAGGTCAAACAGACAGTGTGTTCCAGATTTTGACAGTAAATTTTCGTCTTTGTCCAGGCACATCGACATTTGAGTATGAAAGTCATGGCTACTTCTTTGATCGTATTCACTCTGAGCATGTTTGTGGTGAGTAAACTGTCGGAGATATTCATAGAAAGGTTGTTTTTGTTGTTGTTGTTTCTGTAAGTTAATACCTTTAAAAAAGATGATGGCTCAATATATTTAAGGTCTCTATGTTTTATTCTTCTTCTTCTATATCTTAAGGGCCCACGATCAATTTATTGATCATTTTGGCTCCTATGCATGTAGATGGGATTTGCAATGTTTCTGTTACTGGTGTTGATGAGGAAATCATGCACTAGGGGTTTGAAGGCTTGAGGCAATAGACACAAATGTTTAACTTCATCAAATTAATTTTTGTTCTTTGGAGAGTTTATTACCTTAGCTAAACAATTGGAAGTGGGTCACTTTAAGTCGGGTGCCCATAAATGGGATGGGCCATCACTACCTTATGTCGTTAGGCCTATGCAAACAGTTCTTTTTTTCCCTTATTCGTTACTAGATGAGCTCAAAATAGGTTTTACCATGATTGTTTATTCGCAATAAGAATGTATGTTCTTTATGCGATGAGTCAGTAGAACTGTGTAGGTAAGGGACGACAACCTACGGCGCGCGTGTCAGACTTGGCACGGAGTATGATTTTCAAAAGCACGTGTATGAGGACATACAATATAAACTAAATGCGTCATACAAGGTGGACTTACAGGCTTTTTGGCACTCTGAATTGAATCCTAATTAGTCTCAGTGTTAAAACAGTGTTGCCTACCCCTGGTGTATGTTGAACACAACCCGATAAATCTGGTAGCCAATGCAAGCCAATCGCCATGACGTAGACTTTGGATCAAGGATCAATAATGCAATATTTGAGCTTGGTTTCAAAAGGTGTAATTTATAACTAATGAGAAAATATTCACTATGTCTATCATATCATGTAGTCTATCGTATCATGTAGTCTATCGTATCATGTAGTCTATCGAATCATGTAGTCTATCGTATCCTTTGGTCTATCATATCATTTAGTCAAACGTATCATTTGGTCTATCATATCATTTAGTCTATCATATCATTTAGTCTATCATATCATTTAGTCTATCATATCATTTAGTCTATCATATCATTTAGTCTATCATATCATTTAGTCTATCATATCATTTGGTCTATCATATCATTTAGTCTATCATATCATTAGTCTATCATTTCATTTATTATATCATATCATTTAGTCTAACATATCATTTAGTCTATCATATCATTAAGTCTATCATATCATTAGTCTATCATTTCATTTATTATATCATATCATTTAGTCTAACATATCATTTAGTCTAACATATCATTTAGTCTATCATATCATTTAGTCTATTATATCATTTAGTCTATCATATCATTTAGTCTATCATATCATTAGTCTATCATTTCATTTATTATATCATATCATTTAGTCTAACATATCATTTAGTCTATCATATCATTAAGTCTATCATATCATTAGTCTATCATTTCATTTATTATATCATATCATTTAGTCTAACATATCATTAAGTCTATCATATCATTAGTCTATCATTTCATTTATTATATCATATCATTTAGTCTAACATATCATTTAGTCTAACATATCATTTAGTCTAACATATCATTTAGTCTATCATATCATTTAGTCTATCGCTTCCGTTATTTTTAAAACTTCTTTTTTTTTTCACTTTTCAAAATATATAACTTGACATTCGCAATTGTCTTTCAGTTTTGGACTGTGTTTTAAAGTCCACATACTTCTTATGAAGGGCCAAGAAATTTGAAATTGGGTAGACAACTTCATTTGCATTATTACCCCTTGATCTTCGGCCGTTTCTTAAAAAAAAAAAATTGTGTACGACATCTTCAAAATTCAAACGAAGAAAGAGTCAGTTCATTTATTTTGTTAGGGAAGTGATTAACTCTTGCGCGCGCGCGCGTGTGTGTGTGTATGTGTGTCTGCATGTGTGTGTGTGTGTCGTTCACGTAATATTGCATCGCCCTTTGACCAACCTGGTTGCACAAGTCAGTTTACTTGAACAAACTTCATCTGTAGAATTTTGACTCAGCCAAAAATTAAACTTAAACCATGAATACTTCCAAAATGTTAGCGTAACAGGAAAGGGAATCATTTCAAATGTGGGGCTTCTTCAGGATTTTTATTTTAAAATATATTTGCGAAAATCGTTTTCTCCTGGCAAATAATAAATAGAGGGAGTGGGGGGGGGAGGGTATTATTTTAATAAAGCTCATTTTTAAAAAAAAATTAAATAAATGTATGTAGCTGTTTAAATGTAATGTTTATTAATGCCAAAATTGTTATGTGAAGCGCGGTGATCCAAGCCCTGGGCTGACGTACTGCGCTATTTAAGACCACTGTAATAATAATGATAATAATTTAAAAAACTATTGAGTGGCGAGTCATTCAATGGTGTGTGGCTGTTATGAAAAATAACCAACTCATGCACAAAGATCACGCTGTTGCATGTAATAAGATCACACTGTTATAAGTGATAAGATCACGCTATTACAAGTGATAAGATCACGCTAATGCAAGTGATGTGTTTATACAAATGAATCGTTAACTTTGTTTTGCTTTAAAAATAACATTGAAAACATTCCATAAGAGCAAGCATCAATAGTATCATAAGAATACCGGTCTAAGTTTCCGTGTTAGGTTAAAAAAGCTGACCTCGCTGGACTAACGACTTCCCTTTTGACCATATTTTTATAGCTCGCAATGCCTCGACAGACATATGCGGCCACATAGCGTGACACCCTCACTTGGGGTTGTGGGGGGGGGGGGGGGGGGGGGCGCGGCGCCACCTAAGGGAAAATTTAAAATTTGGCTGGGTTCGCTTGCGTTGGTTTCATGGCATTAATCAAAGTTCAAAACAAGATAACGACTTCCCTTTTGACCATATTTTTATAGCTCGCAATGCCTCGACAGACATATGCGGCCACATAGCGTGACACCCTCACTTGGGGTTGTGGGGGGGGGGAGGGGGGGGGCGCGGCGACACCTAAGGGAAAATTTAAAATTTGGCTGAGTTCGCTTGAGTTGGTTTCATGGCATTGATCAAAGTTCAAAACAAGACCACGGTGCCACCGCCCTTTTAGTGTTAGCTTCATATCTTGCAACCAGAACTCGTCATGAACTGGTAAATATTCTGGCAAAGCATTTATGAAGGAGATGCCTTCTCGTGGATAGAATCTTCTCATTAAGTCTACACTTATTTCTCACGACATTTTCGTCATCTCCCATGGAACAGTTCAGACTTTCTAATCTTTCCTTTGTCGATTGTAATTGATCAAAAAAGACAGTGATGAAGCATTGACAGGTTTGTCAATTTTAAGTGATAAGGTGAAGAAGATGTTAATGAAGCAATGACAGGTTTGTCAATTTTCAGTGATAAGAGGAAGAAGATGATAATGAAGCAATGACAGGTTTGTCAATTTTCAGTGATAAGAGGAAGAAGATGATAATGAAACAATGACGGGCTTGTGAAGGAAAGTATAGTTTGAATACTTCAGTTGAAAATATCAATATTTCGATTAAAATAATTTTGTTGAGTTTGTTAAAGTTTTTACCACGAATGTATGCATCCTTGTTAAGTCTTTGTTGCCTTATGACTTATTTATAAACAAAACTATAAGCGAATCTGTATGATCTAGTTAAGACCGTTTTGGTGCAGGTCCGGTGGGGTGGGAGGTCCGGAGTGGGGGTTACACCATGATTTTACCGCGCCGGGTGACACCAACTCTAGCGACGCCTCTGCCCCTGATCCTGTTATATTTTCCAAACAGGATATTTGTCAGAACGCTCCTTTGTTTCATGTACACGGAGTAGGATGACAATGACACGACACAGTCCGTCACAGAATTTAACAAAAGAAACATTTTCCTCGCGTGTCATGCAGGTGATAATTCTGCTTGCGCCGCTGCACAGGTTGAAAGGCGCCTTAACTGGGTCATGTGTTGGAGGTCATTTGCTGGACATTTTCTTTTTTGTATGGTTAAAAAGCTAACATAAATTAAGCGTCGCGTGCATTATTGTAATGGCTGTCGTCTACACCTCTTACAACGAAAACATCTTGTTGGCAACGCCATCTACATGAAACGTCACCAAACATCCTGCAGTATTCTTGGAGTTTATCAAGTTTTAGAGTCTATCGAGTTTTATAGTCTATCGAGTTAGAGTCTATCGTGTTTTAAAGTAGATTTTTATCGAGTTTCAGAGTCTATCGAGTTTTTAAGAGTCTATCGAGTTTTAGAGTATTTTATACATGTTTTGTATAGGCTTTTAAAATAAAGGCCCTTTTGTTTCCCTCAGATGTCACTGTACGGACAACAAGTCCAGGATTTGTCTCCTTATCAACCAGCCCCTCCCTTCCCCCAAGGGGCGAGGTGCACGAAGGCGACAGACTGTGGTCACAGCGGGTGTTGTCTGCACGGACTCTGCAGCACCACCGGGTCAACGGCGGACAAGTGTTATGCAAAGGTCACGGGAAACGGTCGGATCAGACCCACGGGGATCTGGAACCAGACGGATATCTGTCCATGTGAATACACCTACTACTGCCTGGTGGTTGACAGTAGCAACGTTGACAGTAGATATGGTCCAATTGGTATTTGTATGCCCATCATGGGCTAAGAAACGGAACCTCCAGGATGACAGAGGGGCAGTGCGCATGATGGCAGGAACTCTCAACTAATAATTATACTAATCTTATACTATAATCTGATAGTATATTCTTTAACTACTAATTATTGAATTATCAGAATTGGCATACACAAATAAAATTCTGTTTATGGATTTTCGCTATAATTTTGATGCCAGTCTTTTTTTTTTTTTAACCTTAGTCGATAAAAATGCTAACTTCGTCAAAGTTGTGCAAAGTAAAGGATAACCTTCACTTTAAATCGTGTTAATATCATTCCGAGGCCGGCTCGTGGTAAACCGTTGCAATTGCACACACACACACAAATTATTATATACACCATACAGCCATATTTAAATAAACAGTTTTTAAAAATATTTGTGTGCAGTTGCTTCTGTTCATATTTGTGGATGACTGTAACTGGTAGCACTAAGATACCGATAACCATGTGTCTGTAAAAGGTGTTGGGATGGTTATCCCCACCTCGGTTACACTAGTTACAGTGACAGATTAGCGGGAGGAGGGGCTGCACTGTCTACTGGTTGCCATTCAGGTGTTCAACTTTCTGTTTTGTAAATACAACTTATTTCCATGTATCTACTTATCTTTCATTACATCCAATGTCCAAGTAACTCTTCCACTGACCGAAAATATGAACAAATAAAATTATTCAGTGGCAATGAATGTAATGTCCAGTAGATGGTTCTAAGTCTTAAGTCCTGCTAAACCTGATGATCCAACCAATCATATAATCTGCATTTCAACTCAACCAATCATACAATCCAAAATTTTCGTCAACCAATCATACAATCCATAGTTTGACTATTCTATCAAACAGAAGTGCTGTATTGACAGCAAATGTTTTTTTTAATGAAAATGTAAAATACTGTCCATGGTCAATGGTAATACATTTCAAGTTTGGGATATAGAGCAGAGATTAACACTCAAGCAAAGGAATTCAACAAGTAACAATAACTCTATAAAGATCTTTAAAGCTGTACAAACTATTTGTTAAAGTGAGATGAGATTATTGATGCAGTCAATTTGCAGCATAAAGAAACATGGACATGTTAATTTGCAGAATGCAGAAACATTTGCAATGAGAGAGTAACAATGACTGAGATTCCATTAAATTCATTATCTTTTTTCATCACATTTAACTGAACTCACATTACATGGCCAAACTGAAGGTCCAACAAAATCATAGAGAAATGGGACATGACATAAAATTTGTTAGCAGACAATACAAGCACTGATGCACTGATGCACTAATGCACTGATGCACTGATTGAATAGTGCAATGTTCCCAAATGGTTGTGTGTGGGTTGTTTTGTCAAGTTTAAAAAAAATATCAATCAAGCTGTATGGTTCTCACACAAGTTTGAATTACAAAGAATGCATGTGATGTCTGTTCAGACAACATCAGTTTTAATGTATGTTAGCAAACATTTACATATGCATGTGATGTCTGTCCAGACAACATCAGTTTTAATGTATGTTAGCAAACATTTACATATGCATGTGATGTCTGTCCAGACAGCATCAGTTTTAATGTATGTTAGCAAACATTTACATATGCATGTGATGTCTGTTCAGACATTTGATAAAACCTTGATGACACAGCTAATCTTTAAATCACAACAACCCAGCCAGCAGCTGACTTGATGTGACAGAACAAAAACATGAATCAGAGTGATAGAGATCATCTGTAAACATTTTGGACAATGAGATAAAAAAAAATAGCTCTGCTTTGAGAATTTTAATAAAGATGACACATATTTCTGAGACTAAAAATAACAGTTCAGTTCACAGCATTAATGAATTTGTTGTCTGAGAAGCAAACACTGAAATATCATTGAAAAGTTTTTGTAATTTTTCATTGTCCCAAGCCATGTCATATTTGTGTGGAAACAGTTGTACACAACAAACAAGATATGCAGCTGCCAGCTAACCAGATGTGCACTAAAATATTTTTAAAATGATGCACTAAATTTATTAATAAGAACTCAATTACCAAATGAATGAATGTGTCCTAATGACACTTACAGAACCTACATAGTGTAGGCAATGCCTGCATCGAGGAATAGAAAAATTGTTTGAGCAAGTCATTTTCATATAATCTCTCAATAAAAACGTGAGTCAATAAAGTTAGTTAGAAATAAGTAAAAGAAAATCTCCATAATATCATTAGATAAAAGAAAGTCTTGTTGAAAAGAACCAACAAAGATAATCTCTTGGGTGCATCAAGAAAAACAACAGTTAAGGAGGCTTGCAATATTTCAGTGCAAACAAAGGTCAAAGATCAAATAAATAATAAAATTGAGTTACAGCAATGTTTTTAAAAAGTTTAGTGAAAGTGCTTGTCACCTTTATTCTACATTGCAAATGATACTTTTAAACATCAGATCTAGACAAAAGCACAATTCAGTTTTATTTTGCTATCACATACAAGGACATGATGAAAGGGTGAAAAATTGTACCACATGCTATAGTTATTATATGATATATTTACAGATGGGTGTTCTGTAACCTTATCTATAGATATTGCTTACATGTTCAAAGTTATGTGGGCAATAAAAATTCATTAATACATGTCATAAATATTTACTCTTACTTTCAAAAACTAGAAGGGACTCATTTTATCATACAAACAACTGAAGAAGACCTCACTCTATCATGCAAACTGTAGATGACCACATTCTATCATACAAACAAAATGTAGATGACCACATTCCATCATACAAACAACTGTAGATGACCACATGCTATAATACAAAAAAGTGTAGATGACCACATTCCATCATACTAACACATTTAGATGGCCACAGTCCATCATACAAAGATAAACTTGATGTTGAGGATAAATTTTTCACTAAAAAAATTAAATCGAAAATTGATAATTTTCAGAATTTGCTCCCCTTTTCAAATTTCAGTCTAACATCCCATTTTGTGTGAACGAGGCAGTATGAACTTTGAGGACTTAATTCAGTGTAAATATGTTTTATATATCTTTCAGCTTACGACAGTTGAGATAAAATACTTTAAAATGTTTAATGATAAAAAAGTGATTCAGCATGAATGAGAATGTAAAAAATCAATCAAGTGTGGTCAATGTATCTCTTTCAATGTGTGGCAGGCCTACGAATAGCTAACATACTTTTATCTCCCCATCACGACTCATATTTTATGGTTGTGTTTAATTTCTGAGTTACTGGAATATTTTTTAAGCAACTGTTTCATTATAAATGGTGAAAATAAGCAGTGTAAACCATGTTCCCTTTAAGTTAAAATGAATAAATTTAATTTAAATAATTATAACATCTCAAACATTTCAAATAAAAGCCATGAGTTGCTTTGGTGGCTTCTGGTAACTTTCCATGGTTATGTATTGCTTTGGTGGCTTCCGGTAACTTTCCATGGTTATGTATTGCTTTGGTGGCTCCCGGTAACTTTCCATGGTTTATGTATTGCTTTGGTGGCTTCTGGTAACTTTCCATGGTTATGTATTGCTTTGGTGGCTTCCGGTAACTTTCCATGGTTATGTATTGCTTTGGTGGTTTCCGGTAACTTTCCATGGTTTATGTATTGCTTTGGTGGCTTCTGGTAACTTTCCATGGTTATGTATTGCTTTGGTGGCTTCCGGTAACTTTCCATGGTTATGTATTGCTTTGGTGGCTTCCGGTAACTTTCCATGGTTATGTATTGCTTTGGTGGCTTCTGGTAACTTTCCATGGCTTATGTATTGCTTTGGTGGCTTCTGGAAGCTTTCCATGGTTTATGTATTGCTTTGGTGGCTTCCGGTAACTTTCCATGGTTTATGTATTGCTTTTGTGGCTTCTGGTAACTTTCTATGGTTTATGTATTGCTTTGGTGGCTTCTGGTAACGTTCCATGGTTTATGTATTGCTTTGGTGGCTTCTGGTAACTTTCCATGGTTTATGTATTGCTTTGGTGGCTTCCAGTAACTTTCCATGGTTTATGTATTGCTTTGGTGGCTTCCGGTAACTTTCCATGGTTTATGTATTGCTTTGGTGGCTTCTGGTAACTTTCCATGGTTTATGTATTGCTTTGGTGGCTTCTGGTAACTTTCCATGGTTTATGTATTGCTTTGGTGGCTTCCAGTAACTTTCCATGGTTTATGTATTGCTTTGGTGGCTTCTGGTAACTTTCCATGGTTTATGTATTGCTTTGGTGGCTTCTGGTAACTTTCCATGGTTTATGTATTGCTTTGGTGGCTTCTGGTAACTTTCCATGGTTTATGTATTGCTTTGGTGGCTTCCGGTAACTTTCCATGGTTTATGTATTGCTTTGGTGGCTTCCGGTAACTTTCCATGGTTTATGTATTGCTTTGGTGGCTTCTGGTAACTTTCCATGGTTTATGTTTTGCTAAAATGACAAAGTTGATTCAGTTTTCATTATGTTCAAAAGCAGCAGAGAAATTACAAGAGTTTATTATTGTTCTACAATCTCAATTTTGCATACTTACATTTTATGCAAAGATCTATTTTACTTGGTGTATTACAGTTCCATTTTTTTTTAAATTTCAGATCTTTTCATAGGTGGTGTCCGCCTTGCAGCCTTGGACTGTAAACGTGATACCATCCTGTCTTTCCACAAAATTTACAGGAACTACTCATGACAAATCATGCACACAAAAAACCTTGACGAGGGATGGAAAATCTTTCCAAAATTCAATGTTGCGTATGACCTCGGAGCCCTCAGCCTTGCGGACCAACTTAAGAAATAGTGCAGAAACAATCCGGTAGATCAGGAGGAATACACAGCTCTTCTCACCGGCATACGAAAGACGTTCTGAAGTGTTGATAGAGGAAGTGGAAAACCAGACGACAGACGCCTGCATGTAACAATGGCAACTCTTGATCGGAGATAAACGATGATGGGATAATTGTCTCATCCAATACAGTTCTACAGTTTATAAATAGATTACTAAAGATGGTCTCGGCTTGATGACGGTGTTAAAATTAAAAGACTGAGTTTTTCTATCTTATCAGTTTTAAAAGGTGTTTTAATCAGAATTCTGTACTTAGATCTTTACACACATTTTGCACTAAGATTTTATATTAGATTTTATATAGTCACGTAGAAATTTATAGAAGTAGATCTATTACTTAGATTAGTGCACTTAGATTTTTATAAAAGAAATTAAGACTGTAGCTTTTAAACGATAATTTTTCACTCTGTTGTATTTGCCCCTCTCCAACACCTTTAAGTTACCACTGTCACATCTTTAAATTTTTCCTTACACCTTTGAGTTAAATCTAACACCCTTAAGTTACCTCTCTCAGACCTCTGAGATACCTCTCACACATCTTTAAGTTACCTCTCTCATACATTAAAGTTACCTCTTTTACA